CTAACCCTACCTAACATTCAGTGTTACAGGGGTACGTCTCGCAGTTACCCTGGGGGATTAAGACTATTGGCTTAAGTTAGGCTGCAGGGTCTATTCCTCCAGCGTACTGCCGGAAAAGAAAAAAACGTTACCCTGTTCGGTCCGGTATCGGATGTACCCTGGTACTATTCTATATGCGGGCCGTACTCGCCTACTCCATAACGCGTCTAGGAGTGACTACGCCTATCTTACCTATCTAACCTAACCTCATATAGGTTTACCAGGATAAGTTCTGAGTATACCGGCGTACCAGGGTACGTTTGGCAGTAGTACCCTCGACATAGACCTATGAGCTATACTAAGCTCATGAGACATCCATACATCCTACAAGTGTGTCGGTCGATTTTTTTTATTAATTAAGGAGAAGAGGCTTTATTTGTTATGAGTAGAGGGTTGGTATTACGACAGGCAGTGTTGCTACGACGGTGACTGGGTGCCAGAACATGGATTGTGCATGGTTCGTTTATATGGACAGGGTGATATGTCTGGAGATGAGCGACCTGCAGGCTGGAATTTTGGGAATCTGTATTCTATGATAGTGGAGAAGGTTTAGCTATTGATGTCATTAATTTATGTACAGAAATTTATCTATAATCACATATATATGGTTAGTTCGTATATTAATAGCATGGTGCGTGTGATGCAATCCTAATGGTAAGAAATAAGTGTAACAAGTTTTAGTGGGATCGTTATATTCAATATATGGAAATAGAAATCTCTGGATTACAACCAGAGATGATTATGAATGATCATAGATGCTATGAAAATTCATGTTTTGTGGTGAGGAGCTTTTTTGGAATGTTTCTTTTTTTTAGTTTTCCTTATCATTTAGAGCACTTGTTCACCTTATGATTATTAACGTGTACTGCTTCTATTAATGGGTATATATGCTTCTTTCTGTTTTAGGCCTGATTGGTGTAGACTGGGTGTTAGATGGAGACAGATAGTGCAGCGTGGGGAAACATCAACTTCAGTTGAAGGTGTGCTCCATGGTAGCGCAGAGATGAATGTTGAGTGAAAATGTGAGTAGTGTGAGGTGAGTGTAATGCTAAATATAGGTGCAGGCACAGACCGTGTGATGCTGCTCGATAGATCAGAAGTTTTATTGCGGTATCGGTTAAATTATTCCTATGCAGTGAGGGAGTAATATATATACTAGCCAATCCTGATCACACTTCACGGATCTAGGCTTGATGAGGTACAAGGACACTTCATGAGCGAACCGCCAATATGTCGGTATTTATGTATGTTTGCCCAAGTAGTTACGCAAGACTCTACATGGCTACAAAAATCTATAAAGTCCATATTTATATGCTCATCTACGAACTATTGTCATATTTCTATTGTCGTGTTCATTTTATGCTATGCAGTATGCATTGATTAAGTGGTTCCTAGGATATGAAGTCTGATTCATAAGCCATTTACTAAATGATACGCCAAACTATTGGATAGGAAAGTTAACAAAAACCATCCTGTGCACTTTTGAAAATACTCAGTGTGACTTAGTAAGTAAGTTTACATACAATATAACTACCAACTTTCTCGCAAAACCCAGGTTAATATGTAGCCAGGTCTATATGCTAGATGCTATTAAGTATTTCTTCCGAGCCCCAAACTTAAAACTCTTAATACTGTTATTTCTGCTTCAGGTGCGTAAAGGGCGGTGTTTAGGCCCAGCGCGTGTACTGTGTCTTTACGAAGAGGGCTCAATAGTTGTTGCAAGTGATTACATCTAATAAGGTGCCAGGTAAATTTATTAGCATTTGTTGGATAGGACAATGAAACAGGAACTCATTAAGTTTTTGAATGAGATTTCAAGGCGTGTTCAGCCATGTGTTGCGATACAACAGAGATGATATATTTGTCCGTGAATAGGGTACATATTGCCACTTGTATAAAGTGTGAGACATGAATGCGATGATATTGCAAGATTTTGTTAATCTCACAATCTATATAAGACAAGGACATAATATGTGTACAATTTTAA